TTTCTCGTTAGAAGCTGTCTCTGTGTCTGCAAACTGACTGCTATAACTTTAAGTGTGATTTCATCACAGAACACTTCAGGATAAGTTTTCCTGTCTATTCTAGTGCCATCCATGAAGAATATGATGTATTTCATAAGCATGTCCTAAAGTTATCAATTACCCCTGAACATGCAGTTATGGTCAATAACGCTGTTAAATCATTCTCAGCGCTTAAATCTGCTGCTTTTCTCGTTAGAAGCTGTCTCTGTGTCTGCAAACTGACTGCTATAACTTTAAGTGTGATTTCATCACAGAACACTTCAGGATAAGTTTTCCTGTCTATTCTAGTGCCATCCATGAAGAATATGATGTATTTCATAAGCATGTCCTAAAGTTATCAATTACCCCTGAACATGCAGTTATGGTCAATAACGCTGTTAAATCATTCTCAGCGCTTAAATCTGCTGCTTTTCTCGTTAGAAGCTGTCTCTGTGTCTGCAAACTGACTGCTATAACTTTAAGTGTGATTTCATCACAGAACACTTCAGGATAAGTTTTCCTGTCTATTCTAGTGCCATCCATGAAGAATATGATGTATTTCATAAGCATGTCCTAAAGTTATCAATTACCCCTGAACATGCAGTTATGGTCAATAACGCTGTTAAATCATTCTCAGCGCTTAAATCTGCTGCTTTTCTCGTTAGAAGCTGTCTCTGTGTCTGCAAACTGACTGCTATAACTTTAAGTGTGATTTCATCACAGAACACTTCAGGATAAGTTTTCCTGTCTATTCTAGTGCCATCCATGAAGAATATGATGTATTTCATAAGCATGTCCTAAAGTTATCAATTACCCCTGAACATGCAGTTATGGTCAATAACGCTGTTAAATCATTCTCAGCGCTTAAATCTGCTGCTTTTCTCGTTAGAAGCTGTCTCTGTGTCTGCAAACTGACTGCTATAACTTTAAGTGTGATTTCATCACAGAACACTTCAGGATAAGTTTTCCTGTCTATTCTAGTGCCATCCATGAAGAATATGATGTATTTCATAAGCATGTCCTAAAGTTATCAATTACCCCTGAACATGCAGTTATGGTCAATAACGCTGTTAAATCATTCTCAGCGCTTAAATCTGCTGCTTTTCTCGTTAGAAGCTGTCTCTGTGTCTGCAAACTGACTGCTATAACTTTAAGTGTGATTTCATCACAGAACACTTCAGGATAAGTTTTCCTGTCTATTCTAGTGCCATCCATGAAGAATATGATGTATTTCATAAGCATGTCCTAAAGTTATCAATTACCCCTGAACATGCAGTTATGGTCAATAACGCTGTTAAATCATTCTCAGCGCTTAAATCTGCTGCTTTTCTCGTTAGAAGCTGTCTCTGTGTCTGCAAACTGACTGCTATAACTTTAAGTGTGATTTCATCACAGAACACTTGAGGGTAAGTCTTCCTGTCTATTTGAGTACCATCCATGAAGAATATGATGTATTTCATAAGCATGTCCTAAAGTTATCAATTACACCTGAACATGCAGTTATGGTCAATAACGCTGTTAAATCATTCTCAGCGCCTAAATCTGGTGCTTTCCTTGATAGAAGCCGTCTCTGTGTCTGTAAACCTAGTTTTTCTCACCACATGTTTTTTCTGTACAGAACACTTAAGGATGAGTTTAACTGTCTATTTCAGTACCATCAATGAAGGATATGATGTATTTCATGCTTACATGTCCTAAAGTTATCAGTTACACCTGAGCATACAGTTATGTTCAATAACGCTGTTAAATCATTCTCAGCGCTTAAATCTGCTGCTTTTCTTGTTAAAAGCTGTCTCTGTGTCTGCAAACTGACTGCTTTCACTTTAAGTGTGATTTCATCACAGAACACTTGAGGATAAGTTTCCCTGTCTATTCTAGTGCCGTCAATGAAGAATATGTTATATGTCATGCTTACATGTCCTAAAGTTATCAGTTACACCTGAGCATACAGATATGTTCAATAACGCTGTTAAATCATTCTCAGCGCTTAAATCTGCTGCTTTCTCCTTAGAAGCTGTCTCTGTCACTGCAAACTGACTGCTTTCATATTAAGTGTGATCTCATCACAGAACACTTTAGGGTAAGTCTTCCTGTCTATTTGAGTACCATCCATGAAGAATATTATGTATTTCATGCTTACATGTCCTAAAGTTATCAATTACACCTGAACATGCAGTTATGTTCAATAACGCTGTTAAATCATTCTCAGCGCTTAAATCTGGTGTTTTCCTCGATAGAAGCCGTCTCTGTGCCTGAAAACCTAGTTTTTCTCACCACATGGTATTTCTGTACAGAACACTTGAGGATACGTGTAACTGTCTCTTTGAGTACCATCCATGAAGAATATTATGTATTTCATGCTTACATGTACTAAAGTTATCAGTTACACCTGAGCATGCAGTTATGTTCAATATCGCTGTTAAATCATTCTCAGCGCTTAAATCTGCTGCTTTTCTTGTTAGAAGCTGTCTCTGCAAACTGACTGCTTTCACTTTAAGTGTGATTTCATCACAGAACACTTGAGGATAAGTTTCCCTTTCTATTCTAGTGCCATCCATGAAGAATATGTTGTATTTCATGCTTACATGTCCTAAAGTTATCAGTTACACCTGAGCATGCAGTTATGTTCAATAACGCTGTTAAATCATTCTCAGCGCTTAAATCTGCTGATTTTCTCGTCAGAAGCTGTCTCTGTGTCTGTAAACCTAGTTTTTCTCACCTCATGTTATTTCTGTACAGAACACTTCAGGACAAGTTTTCCTGTCTATTTGAGTAGCATACATGAAGAATATAATGTATTTCATGCTTGCATGTCCTAAAGTTATCAGTTACACCTGAGCATGCAATTATGTTCAATAACGCTGTTAGATTTAACAGCGTTATTGAACATAATTGCATTCTCAGCGCTTAAATCTGCTGCTTTTCTCGTTAGAAGATGTCTGTTTCTGCAAACTCACAGCTTTCAAATTAAGTGTGATTTCATCACAGAACACTTCATTATAAGTTTACCTGTCTATATGAGCAGCATTCATCAAGAATATGATGGACATCATGCTTACATGTCCTAAAGTTATCAGTTACTCCTGAGCATGCAATACTGTTCAACAGCGCTCTTAAAGTGCTCTCAGCGCTTCAATCTGCTGCTTTTCTCGTGAGAAGATGTCTGTTTCTGCAAACTCACAGCTTTCACATTAAGTGTGATTTCATCACAGAACACTTCATTATAAGTTTCCCTGTCTATATGAGCAGCATTCATCAAGAATATGATGGACATCATGCTTACATGTCCTAAAGTTATCAGTTACACCTGAGCATGCAGTTATGTTCAATAACGCTGTTAAATCATTCTCAGCGCTTAAATCTGCTGCTTTTCTTGTTAGAAGCTGTCTCTGCAAACTGACTGCTTTCACTTTAAGTGTGATTTCATCACAGAACACTTGAGGATAAGTTTCCCTTTCTATTCTAGTGCCATCCATGAAGAATATGATGTATTTCATGCTTACATGTCCTAAAGTTATCAGTTACACCTGAGCATGCAGTTATGTTCAATAACGCTGTTAAATCATTCTCAGCGCTTAAATCTGCTGATTTTCTCGTCAGAAGCTGTCTCTGTGTCTGTAAACCTAGTTTTTCTCACCTCATGTTATTTCTGTACAGAACACTTCAGGACAAGTTTTCCTGTCTATTTGAGTAGCATACATGAAGAATATAATGTATTTCATGCTTGCATGTCCTAAAGTTATCAGTTCCACCTGAGCATGCAATTATGTTCAATAACGCTGTTAAATCATTCTCAGCGCTTAAATCTGCTGCTTTTCTGGATAGAAGCTGGATCTGTTTCTGGAAACTGTCAGCTTTCACATTAAGTGGGATTTCAACACAGAACACTTGAGGATAAGTTTTCCTGTCTATTTGAGCAGCATTCATGAAGAATATGATGGACGTCATGCTTACATGGCCTAAAGTTATCAGTTACACCTGAGCATGCAATACTGTTGCTGTCAGATCTTAAATCTGCTGCATTTCTGGATAGAAGCTGTATCTGTTTCTGGAAACTGTCAGCTTTCACATTAAGTGTGATTTCAACACAGAACACTTGAGGATAAGTTTTCCTGTCTATTTGAGCAGCATTCATGAAGAATATGATGGATTTCATGCTTACATGTCCTAAAGTTATCAGTTCCACCTGAGCATGCAATACTGTTGCTGTCAGATCTTAAATCTGCTGCTTTTCTGGATAGAAGCTGGATCTGTTTCTGGAAACTGTCAGCTTTCACATTAAGTGGGATTTCAACACAGAACACTTGAGGATAAGTTTTCCTGTCTATTTGAGCAGCATTCATGAAGAATATGATGGATTTCATGCTTACATGTCATAAAGTTATCAGTTACACCTGAGAATGCAATACTATTTAATCGCCTTCAGCGCCTGATTCTGCTTCACGCTTAACTGCGTTTGGGACGCATTTAATCACCATCATCATCAACAAAATCTGCACGTCCAGCATTTGTGCTGCTAAAAATAAAACAACATTTTTTAAATATAATCTGACAGCAACTAGGCCTTCCTTGTCAGTGGGTTTGGGGTCATTCAGAGAGTACAGTTTATCGTATATGTCTTTGCCTGTAAGGTAACCTCAACACCTCACTGAGGAAAGTGTCTGACTCCAGGAAGTAGGTGAGTCTCTCTCGAGACCAACACAAGAACTTACAGTTCTTCTCTTACATGATAGTCACCTGTCAATCACAGTAATAAATTTGTTTTTTCAAGAAGTGAGGATTGTATAACCTATTCATGAAATCTTAGGAGTATCAGGTTAAATAAAGCTCTGACTAATTATTCATTTTACCCCACATAAAGGCTAAGTGTATGGTAAGACAATCAAGTCTTTTTTTCATTATTTATTCTGAGATTTTTAACGCAATGAGCAATGATGACATAAATCGGATTTGTTCATCTCTTTTATTTGTCAGTGATCAATTTGTCAGAATTTGTCAGAACTCTCGAGAATCAATGAATGAATTGGTGTAGATGTTGTGGAGGAAATGGCCTCTGTATGACACCTCCATCCTGTCACAGAGAAAAAAGTCAAAACTCAGATTAATCTGAAATACAAAAATGTGTATTATGTTAAAAAGTGGCAGCCACTTGTTGACTGGTGAAGCCAAATGAGGAAGTTCCTTGAAGTCCCATTTCCTCTAATGACCCCTAGACAGAGTCCCACATTACTCTTAGAATTACTCTCAAAATTATTTCATAGGTTTCAAATTCAATATTGTTTAAAAAATATCCAAATTCACTTTCAAATTAACTCTTAAAGTATACACAAAATATTCAAACAGTTCCAAATTAACCTACTTAATATAAAAGTTTATTCATCGGTTTATTCATTTATCATAAGTATAAATTCATCATCATAAGTATAAATTCATCATCAGGATTAGTCAAAAAGTCCCAGAGTTACTCTAAAAGTTGCTCAAACATCCCCTAAACGTTTCTTAAAATTATTCAAAAAGTTCCACATCCAGTCCCAAAAGTTTTCAGAAGACTTGTTTTCACAGAATAAAAAAAAACAGAAAAATTATCCTGGCAAAAACCCCCAAAACAAACAAACAAAAAACATTCACTTTCCTTTCAAGGCTTTTGTAGAATGTTTTCTCATTATTCTTAGATATTAAGGTATAATATGTATAAACCTATATCAGTGTTTGAAGGCTGATGTCAATGTTGATATATTTTATATTATAAAAGCAAATAGTCATTGTTTTTATTCAATATTTACATATTTAATATAAGTAATGCTCGCAAATAGCAGAAAATGTATTTTAAGGGCACACGCTCTAATTTTGTTATAGCTCCTTCTTATTGCTGCTGTTTTAAAAATCATTGTCAGCCATGACAAACTGGGAGAGTATATTTTTTTATTTTGTTAGGGTTGGGAAACCTTGTGAAGCAGTATTTAGACCATGGAACACAAAGAACCCCCAAACAACTGACAGATATGGATATTCAATGGTATAAGACAAAAGCAAATAAGTAGTAAATAAGTAAAAATCATATGTACTAATTGGAGAAGCTGGATCAACACAATCAACCAATTATCAAAACTGCTGACAATTATTAATTTGTCTTATTTATCAATCATTTCAGCACCAAACCACAATATTAATAACAGTGTTACGTGCCGTAGTGTTATGAGGTTGTGTGTGCGTGCTGGTCTGCCCTCTGCCCTCCCCTTTTTTCCACCAGGTGATTCGGCACGGTTGTCCCTGGTTCCCCAATCAAGGGCTGGAGCTTAAAGGGGGAGTGATGAGGCTTGGCCAGTGCCAGAGTAACATTCAGCATCTTTTGAACGGTGTGTGTTGTCTATAAGATAGCTGCGTAGAGCTTTAGTGTTGATTCTGATAGTGATAGTGTGTGATAGTGCGTGATAGCTTATTGTTCATTAAGCTTGGTTTATGTACAAATATAGTTAACCATTGAGTGTTCCACTGTTGTTGTTATAGTTTTCTAAATTCCTTATTTTTGGCTGAATCTGTTTTCCTGTTCTGCACGGGCAAAACAGAAAAGAATTTTATTCATTGTTACTTTCCTGTACCCCTGGACTCTCATACGGAATGTAAAGAACAGTAATAAGAAATGCAGTATTTGTCATTTGAACAATATGAATCAATCACTGAGACTTGTCCATCTATAAAGGATGACTGACAGAACAACAGCTGCACCTGGATTCAAACAAAATGCACATACTTTCCTTTGAGGAGAATGCTGAGACGTTCATCCACAGAGGTCTTGTCCTCAGCAGCGTACTCCTGGCCTTTCTTCAGTGTCTGGATGGTGCAGAACTGTCCTGTGAGCCTCTGAAACAGAGCCTCCTTCACATGGAGGGACTCAAACATCCGCTTGTAGACTGACAGCAGCTCCCTGTTAACCTTAGTCTGGCAGAGCAGAGTCATAAGCTTACCTTATCTTTCCAATGAAAATCTCATCTAATGTTGCTGTGGTCAAATTTAAATAACATTCAAAGAGTTGGTGAATTGGTAAAGGAACAGTGACTGTGGAGGATATGTGTCCTGTCACATTATGAAAAGTCCTGGTCTGGCTCTACCAGCTTGCTGGAGGTCCCTTTCTTACATTAAATCCTCGAGTGGCACTCATGGATTTGATAAAACCTGCATCCTATATGTTATAAAGCATGCCTGAACTCAAGAGGATATGCTGCTTCCTGCCAGAGACAGCGAAGAAAAACTCAGCACTGAGCCTAAATAAACACTTGCAGGCCTCGCTGTTAGAATGTGAATGAGGGCATTTTGTTTTTTAACTCACTGGCCTTCACTTGTACAAGAGGAAGAAGAAATGCATGAAGTTGACCACCAGAAATACCACATTCCAATCCATCACATCCAGGTTGCACCTATACAGAGTCACCAATGAAATTAAGAGACCACATCCTGTGAGGGTTAAAGACAGAGAACAATGTGTATTTAGGGGAAGAAATATCTATAAACTAAATATTAAAACTTGATTCAAAGATTCTCAATCTAAAGTTAAATACTTTAGTCTGATTTAATATTAATTCATAAAGACAACATCATATATAGCTACTGTGGTTGTAATTTCAAGTTTCTGATTTTTATCACAGCCGTGCAACCATATTTGTCACTAAAATGCATGAAATGTACTTGCATCATAAGTATAAACTGAATACATGTGGAATTAATCAATTATTAGTTGTTAAATACAAGTCATTTATAAAGTACACTATATGGGTCAGGTATTTAAGACTGATTAATGAACTTAGTATGCAGGAAAATTCTCCACCCTAAACTAGAATGAGTTGCAGGGATAATACTAAAGCCTGTAACTTTACATTTACAGGTTTAAGGATACTTAATTCGGCTGCAGCTTAAAACAAGAAATTATTTTTCATTAAATAAATATAAAAATTAAATTAATTAATACATTAGTTGATTTATTTATTTTCTATTTTATTACTATACTTATGACCCATCTAGACTTTGATAATACAAGAATACCCAAGATGTTTTAAAGTTACCTTACAAGACTGACTACTGCAGCTCTGTTAGTTTACTCTTCCTCTTTCTTCTCTGAGACTAGCTTTGGCCAAAGGTCAATATACATAAATGAACTGTCAAAATTACAACCACTTTTCCTATAAATCTGCTGCTTCCTGTCTCCACTCTCTTTCCAAGTAGAAGATAAACATGTTGGAAGTGCTTTTTCCATCTGCCATTCTCTCCTTCCTTTATCTGCTATTATCAGAGCCTTTTAAGACCTCAGCTCTGTTATAAATTGATCCCTCTGTGCAGAACAGATGGTAAAAACAAGCTGGTAAAAATTTACTGATGCTTTGATGCACAGGACAGTTTTGATTATAATAAAAACATCTGTTGATGCTGTTATTAGTATTCTCCAATATTCCAAACTACAGTATTATGAACACAGGAATGCCATCGGCGGGGGCACTGTGGACTGAGCTGTAATGAGGAGGAGGCACAGCAGGATCATGTGCAGACCAAGGGTAGTTGGGATGACCACGCCTAGCAGCAGGGAAAGTTTCCACAGATGGAATAGGAGGTGATGGGTTTGCTCCCACTCCTGGCACAAAGTGGCATTGGGCATAGTCGGGACTCCTGGAGTGGACAAGGGGAACGAGGGCAGTGTGTTGTAGAGGGGGTGGTGGTGCTCTGAGGTAGAGGACATCCTTCAGCAGGGTCACCTTAAAGACTAGGGCAAGGTTAGAGAAAATATGATTGGATGTATTGATCAAGGATTTCAGGTCACATGCAGATTTGTACCTGTGGCACCTCAAGCCACGCCCACTTCTTACGTAGAGGTTCCATTGTCTGCTGGATCAACGTTGCCATCATGTTGGTTCGACCGGGCAACTTTACATAATGTTCAGAGAACTGGACTGCACTACATGTAGTTTTATATTTCACTATCGTTACTCTAATATTTATTCTATTATAATTGTTATTACATTATTGTGTCGTTCGACCAGCCAGCTGGAGCAGCCGGATCATACATAACTGCAAACGGTGCGATCGATCCAGAAAGAGAAGAGGCAAGTCGGGATAATAATAATTGAAGATTCAAGCAGTTGTAGTTATTGACTTGTGTTTGTGCAATAAAAAATATCCAAGAAAAAAAAAAAGGATTTGTGAGAAAATATTTTACAGATGTGCAACTTCATTGCATGAATTCACATTCTGGTTTGCAGGTGTGCAAATTTGGCCATGACTTCACATATTTGATAAGGGTGTGTAAATGTGTTTTGCACCACATTCACTGTAGCAACTGTGGCAAAAATGTGAGTGTATGGGTTTCTTGATTTGCGATTTCTAAACCAGGAGTGTGCAACTCCTATTGCATTTTTTCTCTGTGACCTCAAATTTACTGATACATGTGTGACTATTTTATACAACTACTAATTCCCCTCTCACAGGTGCTCAGTTGTTTTGCACCAAAAATACCTTCATATGATAACAAATACAAACAGATACAAACACTGCACAGCTTTCTTTTTAATTAGCTGAGTGGAATGAGGTAAAATTAGAGGTAAAATGGACTTTTATTTAGATGTAACTGCCACCACCATTTTTTATGCAAATTTAGGAATAAGTGTTTATTGTATTTATGCATTCTAATTTGAGATAAATATGACTTATGTACAGTAGTTCAGGGTTGGTGTGTGCAAATATTTAGTCTATTTCAGTATTTCTTCAGCCTGTGAGCCATCACTTACGAATTTAGTACACACAAATCTAGTTGGTCAAAACTCATAACGTATGTCACGTTATGTTTTACCAAACAAAAAAATATAATGCTATAGAATATGTAATTTCTGTGAAAACAACTTTTTCAAATTGCATTCATCTACAAAACAGACCTAAAAAACTAAATGATGAGCACTTTGGCTGTGTAGTTACTGCACTCACACAGTTCAATGTTACTACATATCCTGTGATAAATCTCACAGTAGGATTTCACATGGAAACGCCTGTATAAAGATTTGACTGCATCTGTTCAACTCAGGAGATTAACTATAGTCATGTGCTCACAATCTTTTTGTCAAATTTTGCTGAAGTTACTTTTACTTCCCGACTACAAGCGACTTAACATTCTCCCACTGTAACAGTATCTGCTGCTGTCTTTTCCGTCACATGTAAAAATAGATGTAGTTGTGCTCTCAAGCTTCAGACAATTCCTGATAGCTTAATTTTCCTAACCGCTTGCCAAAGTACCGAGAGGAAAACTTACCGTACCGCATCTGTCGGTAAAACTGCGTACTGTCTATGAACTGTCTGTACCGCAAAGGAGGAGGAAGGATATCGATGAAAGACTTAAGACGCTGCTGGTGTCTGCAGGCTGGACCCTCAGATCGGGGTCTGCACGATGTGCGTCGCACATTCCACACAGCTGACAGTGTCAGACTGAAATAGGCAAGAAGGCGAGAGGGGTGAAGCCCGCAGTGACTGAGAGCTCCGGGGGGGGGGGGGGGGTTCCTTTAAAATACTCAAGATTTCCTAATAATATACTGAACACTATTCTCTTTAGCAAATATTTCTGCGACACACACACACACACACACACACACACACACACACACACACACACACACACACACACAAATCTAGTTTACACAATTTATTTTTTCAATAAAAACACAGACACCATTAGCCTATTTACGTCAACATTTTACATTGGCACAATGCTATATTGACATTAAGATAGTTACTGATCTACTGATCTAATCTATCACACATTACAGAAACTTTTACCATTTTGACATGTGCAGTCACCTATTTATTTCATTTTCATAATGTACATATACATCCAGGTAATGAGCTGCTTTTAATTAAACCATAAGCTGTTTGCCTTTACTCACTTTAACATCAGTTGAACAACACAATCTGAAGTGTTATACACTTAAAATTATTTACATACAGACACAAACATACACATTCAATTCAGTTACATCCACAGTCATTTATATTTATTACTTCTTGACTGCGTGCTATTTGAATGGATGCTGAAATTAGACTTGAGCTGGAAAAGCAGACAGAAAAAGATGGCAAGATGTCTGAAGTTCTGAAGATCTGTTGTCATTTTCTTATGTTATGCTTCAGCATATAACTGAAACTATAGTCATATCAACAAATTATTATTCAAAATTATAACATTATAGGCAAATGGCTACTCTGCTAAATTGTTCTAAAGTGACAACTAAACGCTAGAGGATCTTTCAAGCCAAATGACTAGAAACTAGCACCAAGATAGGATTTTACCACAGGTACACACACACACTTGTCTAATACACAGTCAAAAGTAGACAGTCTCATCAGTGTACACTTGACTGAATGATTCAGATTTAACTTTGAATATTTGAGATTGTAGTTGGGTACAGCCTCAACAGTGAGACATCAAATTATTTTCTAAACTACCTGCTTAATTGGATAGTTCAACATCCTGAAAAACATGTGTTTTCTCTTTCTTTGTGATATGTCTTGGCAAACAGTAGCCAGTCATAGTGACTGTGCACTATGAATATATTAAGAGAACTTGATGCCACATTCCAAGATGGCATCCCATTCATTTCTATAAAACTTGCTGCCAGGACACATGTGCAAAAAAGGTTTCCCTGGTTTCCGTGGTTTTTGCCCGATAAAACCTGAGCATTAGAGTTCTTCTCCAATTGAACCAGTTGAGAGCATTACAACCAATGTTACAAAGAAAAGGTCAGAATGAGTGTAAGATATACTGAACCAAAGTTACAGAGGCTCGTACATATTTATTGCAGGTTCTCTTGTCAAAAGCTGTTGCAGTGTTGTGGGGATCTTGCACAGACAGAGCTTTCAAACTGTCATTTGTCAAGGTTATGTGAAGACTGAAAGCATCCCACAGGTTGGTCTTGTTACCAAACCTACCATAAACAGTCTATAGATGTTAGGCTATCAGTTATGTGACCTTGTTCTTAGTATTCTCCTCCAGCAGTATCCTCTTGACCTGACACACCAATGCTGACTGCCAGCTCCACATACCTAATTTGCATTTTGAGGTCTGATGACAATGGGGGCAGATTTGAGTTAACTTCACTTGAAACTCACTAACCCTTACATGGCACCAACACACTTAACCCTTACAAAATGCCAGTATTTTTTTACATTTCATCCTTACACACAATGAGTTACTTTAGTTCCAAGTTTTTAAGGCCTGGAGCAAATTGTGTGTGTGTGTGTGTTTTTTTTTTTCACAAAGTCCTTCCACCCTGTCCCGGCACTTGCAGCAGGACCTCTGCCATTTCTAATTCTGTCCCTGGCATGTGACAATTACTTGGTAGGCGGAGATCATAGCGCTGCCCGGACCTATTGAAAGCCTTGTCATTCAGGGAGTATAGCTTCTCTGCAATATCATTGCGCACAACCAGAGCAAAAATCTTGGCTATGTAGCGATGCTTAGCAAAAAGCAGATACAGTTTCTTCCTCCTCCACGCCACATATCGGCAGGGGTTATCAGCACGCAGGGTCACCTGTGGAGAATAAAACATTTAACAGAAAGATGAGGCTGAAAGGATGCAAGCTGGTTTCACATGTGTAAGGTAAATGATAATTCCAGCTTATTACAACTTATGTCTTATAGTTTATCCCATCATTTCTATCAATTATGATAACAAATGTAAGTGCTGAGATCTGAGAAAACTTATAACCACTCAAGTTTAATTGACATTTTAATCATACAAGTCTAACAATTTATCAAACTGACCAATAATACTAATACTCATTATTCATCAACTGGATTTGATTAACCAGTTTACAAATTTACAAGTTAAATTAGTTTAACAACTTTGTTCATAAATGTTATGCATGGACTTTTGAGATGGGACCCATTGCTGATGGAGATTTGTCATCTCTCAGCTCCAAGTCCCTGGTTCCTACTGTAGAAGTAAATCTTTAAAAGCAGGTCATAAATAGATAGTAATTTTGAAAATGGGGTCAATAATTCTCTAAAGTAGCTGGTGCTCTAGTGAGTATTTGGGGCAGCAGTATGGTATAGTATGTGGGATTCAGCCAAAATAAACTGCTAAGGTGACTAAAGTGTGTGTTCTTGGTAATGAGGGAACATGTCACCCAGTGCAACAGTGTGTAATTTTGGACAATACCACATCTTTTTCACAACTAACATTTTCATTTGTCATAATGGGTAGAGCACGGATAGACCTAATCAGGGCTTATCAGTGCAACTATTTACACACTTCTATTTTTAGTTGTGAGTTAAACAGTAAATTATATTCAGGAGCAGAAATGTGAATAAAACCTATTACAAAATTCCACTGACCATTGAAAAAAAAAAAAAAAAAAAATCACATGAGCCCTAAAGACACCACTTTTCTGTCTAAACTGACTTTTTTTGTGTGTGTTTATAACTAAGACCTACTTCATTATCAATTAATGCCAAAGCACAATGATTTACTCAGCCCCTCCTTGCCCTGTTCTTTTTCTGTGGGAAGCACTGTTCATTTCATACCATTTATACTGTTTAAAGCATTTTAAAGTATAAATAATTGCACATTATTTGATTGATTTTCATTGCGGCCCTAATGGTCTTTATGCACTCCTAAATTTTTCAACTTAGCTTGGGACAAAAGGTCAAAGTGCCCCAGTGAGACATTCCCATTACCCCACATTCAAAAATACTAGGACCCTAGAAATGCAGTTGGAGTTTAATTAATTACACCTATGCTTTTCATGCTAGGAAAATATCTACAAAGGCCTGTGGCACAAAGAAATAAGATAAATAAGATGTTTGTTGGGGCAATTAAGATTTGTGGACCTAAAATTGGGATTAAACTCAGAAAACCTTGAATGATGTTGGCACAGGGTTTAGTGAATTGCCATTCCTGAGTTATTAATGCCTGAATGTTTTTTGCTCATGCAAAAGTTAAAATTAACCTGGAAGACACCCTCCTCTGATGGTCTGAGAGAGTCCCACTCAGGTGAATCCAGAAACTGGAAAGGGTAGATATAATGCAGAAACTCTCCATTAACTGTCACACGGATTCTGTTGGAGGATGGATGGGAGGTTGATATTAATTTTACAGCGGGAAACAGTAGCATGAACAGCATATCAACACTAAATCACACAGGACACAAAAACTGTTGCTAAAATGATAATCAGTGATACTGTATCACAACAGATGTCCTGGCAGAACAGCTGGGGAAAAACACCTGCAGTGACTTAAGTATATTGGCTGAACAGGCTAGAAAGTTTCAACCCTTATAGCATATATTTTATGCAATTTAGTGCGATTGATTGTTGAGTTAGGTAACCCTTTCATCTTGGACATCTAGAGGCAACACCTCCATCATCAACAACACAGTTCTCCAATAGGTTTTGCCACTTTTGAATAACAGATGTTTTCATTGTCTATTGCAATGTGTAGTTGATACCCTCTGTTCTGTCTAGGTTAGTGAAATATTACCATCGCTCAAAAGGAGGCCAGCTTCGGCTGAATGTTTGTTTTAACGAACCAAACAAACAAATTATTGGCTTCTCACTAATCAAATCACTATCATCATCAAAAAGAACATCATTTGCACTGATCTCCCTGCTAGCCAACTACACATAGCCCTGACAGGCGGTGATGGGAACTACCCTAGAAATGAATGGCTAATGGGAAGCACAAAGCTAAACTGGCTTTTTCTTTTGTTTGACCAGTCAAGCAGCTCATTTAACAACCCAAGAGCACAAGTGGATTTGTTGATTTGGCAAACCTCTCACAGTCCATTGAAAAGCATTTTAAGTCCCAAGGTCATATTACATCTGAACTCAAACTAACCTTTTGGACAAATGAGGATAATAAGGCACTGGACCAAGTGGCTGTTCTGTAACTCGGACACCAGCGGGAGACATTCCAGGACGACATAAGTCAGCTATCAGCTCTGGCAACAAGAGCAACTTTGTGGAACTAGTGTAAGCTTTTGCTGAGTTTGATACAATGTTAGCACAACACTTATTATTGGCTACTGCATTTACCAGTATGTCAAAGACAATTCAGAATGACATAGAAAGCACTGCTCATTTTATTCTAAGAAATAGCCAAAGACAAACACAGTGCCATTCATAGCAGCTGAAGTGGATGTAATCACATATCCTGAAAGTGCCAACTGACTGTTATAGTCCGCTATGTTAACAAAAAGGGTAGTGAGTGTTTTATTGGTTTCTTTGACATTAGCGTCTACAGAGATGCTGAAGCCATACGTACTGTGGTGATGAGGGCAATTACAAACTACAGTCCTGAAACAAAGCTCATTTGTCAAACATATGATGAGCTGCATGAGAGGGCAAAGAGGCAAAGTACAGGCACTTGTCAAGGCACAATGCCCATATGCAAGATTAATTTAGTTTTGGCTCAGGGAACAAGCAACATTCAGAAATAGAAAAGCTATTTTTGCATCTCTCGTCTGGTTCCACAGCGTCTTCAACCGTTCAAGTAAAAGCACAGCACTACTAAAAACTGGCTTGTTGGTACTAGTCTGTGTACTCTTGCCACCTACTGGGCTTTAAGCAGTTTAAGCATTACAGCAACACACCACAGGATTATTATTGAGTGAATGAAAACCTTCAACTATGTGTTCATTCTTTAGCTCACAAGAAGAAATTCCAAAGCAGTGTCATGGGTTACCCTATAACATGCATGTATATAGTGTGTCCCGTTTTGCTCGCATCTCTCTCATTGACTATCCAAAAGTTCTATTCACCACAATAAACAGCAGCAGGATAAGAGACAGAACTAAATGATGTGTTCTGTCTGTTGATTTCCATTCTTAACCACAGCACAACACCTATACACAACAAGCAGCGCTTCATTACAACCTGATAGGAGTGTGGGAAAACAAGACAAATATCGCCTTGACATTTTCAAAGGCAATCAGTGATTGTCCAGATGATCGGCGATCACCGATATCATCAGCACAACCGTAGTTTGCATTATTTCTTGCTGATTGCAGTTATTGTTGCAGATGTCCCCACATAAGGGTATGCACATAACCAGTGCTTATGGCTGTGAGAAGTTTCCACGTTTTCTTACAGTATTGGTAGAAAATAAATTGCATTGTGTTTTTGTGGTCCACAAAAGCCTTGCAAATATTATTGTTGTTATTGTTGGGGATGGGGGAGTTCCACCCCTAAAGAAAAATTTTAAAACCAAATATTTTATTCATGTTATTTTCCTAATTAATGTACACGTTTCAGCTCAGTGTATCTAATGTGTGTCACTGCCATTTGCAAGTCACATTTGTCTCCTCTGCTTTCTGTTCAAAGTGTGTGTCACACATGGAGCAGAGCAGAGGAGAGAATTTGACATCTTGTTATGTTAAATGCTATAAAAGCTTTCCAGCAAGTGTTACAAATCCCACTAAAACCAAAGATGGGACAGACATCGACCCCAAACAAGGGTTAATTTGAAAAAAATCATCGTACATATTTACTCTGTCTTTTAGCTATGTTTCACTTTGGGAACATAGATAATGTCACTGAAGCCTTGACTGTATTTCACAGCTCGTCAGGTGTGCCAAAAATAGAATCAATTTGGTCTAAATTTAGAGAAGGGAAGAATTAAATTATATAGTAAGCCATATTTTCACTACTGTCAATTCTAGGGCTAAATGTAGGCTATGTTAGGGACACTACAGGTATAGTAGAGGTACATTATAATGGGGTATAATTATGGGGCTCAGTTTCACAACCACTTTTGCTTCCTACCCAGTTAATAACTGTGTTTGAATGTATTTTAAGCCCATGTAGCTTTGCTAAAGCCATGTCAACCAAATCTACATGTAGCACATGTGAGTTCAATTGTGACCCATGCACATTTATTTGAATGCATTTCTTTTGTTACATGCTGTATTTTACAAATTAGACTCTTTGGTATATTAGGAGTCTGAACTGCACTTGCAAATGTCAGCGAATTATTGACATAATCTATCATCCTTTAGCAAAACAAGTTTCAGATATAAATACAATTTGGCGTCAGACATTATTATGGGTGATTGCGTCACCTGCCAGACAGGAGCACTGACAGCTTGTCAATAGCGGTTTTTCCCTCTATGGCGAAGCAGTGGTTCTGCTCTATGGTGTGGATGTCTCCGTCACAGCAGGCCACTATCTTCCCAAAATGTGTGAGAGACACGCCTAGTTTTTTAAACATACAGTGGTAAAGCTCCTGGAATTCCTGCTCGAAGGAAACGCTCCTCAGCCGGTAGGCAACATGCAGCACTTGTCCCAAACACACGCCGAAGAGTGCGACACTCCATAGAAAAGAGTCCGTAGTGCAGGGGTCCGACCATGCCCAGAGAGTTGAGCAAAAGAAGCCCAGAGTTAGGAAGGTGAATAGGTAGAGGAGTCCATAAAAACCGCTGCCGCCCATGAAGCCGAGGAATAGGAGGATACTGGCGAGGTGGAACACGGAGCCTTCCGAGCCGTCTCTCCATTCCTCACATAGCGGGTACAGCGAAGCCACTTGCTCCACCGTAAAGTTCATGGCTTCGAAGTCCGGAGGTTCCATGTGTACAAAAGTGAATTAAACTACCAGCAGAGTTAACTCAAAGCAACCAAGGGTCTCTCGGAGCACTCAGAAAACACCGCAGACACGAACATACACAGACATACCATTCGGCCGTAGGCATCCAACTGTGTGAAGAGGACCGAGTCAGCCAAAATACGACCGGAAATTGTGTTGGTAGAAAAAAAAAAAAAAAAATTCGTCGGAATTACTGAGCAAAGCGCTCATATTCAGGCTGAGCAACACAGCGCAGCCTGCCTTATATGCCAAACATATGCGGAAAGGACAATCGAGCACCAGACAAGATTTATTAATGGAATTAAGAAATAAATTAATGAATCAAATTTAACGTTCAAACAAATATGCCTAAATAGGCGTACATTTATTTTCATAAACATCTAATCATTAAAGGACTCAGATCAGGATTAGGAGCAAAAAACATGATCAGGACCACTTATGAGCTTGATGATCTTCCATGTAACAGGCGCTCGGAGGTGACTGGTTTTGAAGCTCCTGCCTTTATTGGGTCTCGAGGGCTGTGCCTAATAGGACCAGTCAATAATCCACAGAGCAGCTTTTAAATTGTAATGTATTATATTTTTAATGTCAGACCAGAAAAAGGTTTATGGGATCTATAAATGCTAATCAAAATATCAAAGCTTTTATTTTGACAAGCAAAACAACACTTCTGCCATGTCTGTCTCTGTGTGACTTGACACTGGCAATGTATCTTTTTATAACAATCTTAAAAGATGGAAGTGGTCGTCTTTCCCGGTGGCCCCTGATTCTAAATATGAAATGGTGAACGTGATAGTGGGGCAGAAATAAAATAAATAAAATAGATTAATACTAAGCAGATAAAAGACTATAATGTAAAGATAAGAAGTAGTCAGAGTGTAAGTGAACTGATTTCCTCAAATTTCCTCTTTAATGAGAGCTATGGAAGGTTACGAGGGTGAGTGATCTTTGTGGACCAGAATAGCAGCAGTACTCCCTCTGTGTACCCGGTCAAGGTGACTGTGACTGTTTGCTGGATGGGAGAAGGTGTGTGGGTGGCATATGGGGTAGCAGAGAAGGACAGAGAGCCCCTGGGTGTATTTCACATCAGGTCAGACATAAGGAGCTGGTGCAGAAACAGTCTTACCAGGTCTGACCCAGTTTTTTCAGACAAGCGATGTGGGATGACTAGAACATAGAAATGGGGTGTGTGTGTGTTGTTCCATACGTTTGATGGCATGCTTAAGTCTCATAAGGGAATTTATCTCTATGCAGTACACATCAGCAGATACCTAACACCATCTATTTTTAGAGCATTTCCACCCTGGACAGTCTCTGTATCTGTATGATTACATGCACAGGAAAATGTGTGTGCATACCTAATTTTAAGTCTGTGTCAGGAGTTAAAGAACCCAGATGCAGCCAACACAAGGGAGATGTGAAAAATGTTTAATAAACAGAAGAACTTACGGAACAGGAAGCAGAAGCACACGGAAACACAGGGAACTTCAACAGAAGCACAGGGGACTTGAACAGATGAACTGACAGACAAAGAGGAGCACAGAGACTAAATAGACACAAGGGACGCAAGGGTGATTGAACACACGTGAAACACATTAGGGCGGGCCAGACAGTCAATTCGGAGGGAAACAGGACAAAGACAGGAAGTAAAAACATAATTAGAAACACAGAAAATAACTACAAAATAAAACAGGAAATGACAATAACAAAAGTCCAAACGAAATCTCAAATGTAAAACGTCCGTCATGGCAACCGATGACAGTCTGTGTAAGCAGCCTGAGATCAGATATCAATAAATGAGAAAGAGCCAGTCTTTACTAATGTTGGTATGTAGGCAGGGAATAAGACTGTGTGATAACGTGATAACTGTTATTAGCAGATGTGTCAATCACACACCACTTTCCCTAAAATACACTCATGAGAAACAAATAATGATTAATCTGCTTCAGAAGATAAGATTTCTATCTGCTAGTGCTATTTTAGAATTTGGCATCCTGGGATAGAGCTCAGGGTAGGGTAGCAGTTACAGGAATCCTCTCTGGTGCCAGAAGGTCTCAGGTTCAGTGAGTGCTGAACTGTCCTGAACTACAAACTAAAGTTTATTTATATAAACTTTATTATTTAGGTTCAGCCTCAGCGCTCCAATCAGCCAATTTTCTAGCAGCAGCAGTTGGCTTTTTTTCTGTGAAAAATCTCTGATAAACTTAATCCCAACTGCTCAACAGCAAACTGACAAGGAGTAAGGAAGAGACTAAGAACCGAACAACTGAAAATCAAATACTGTATTCCCAGATGACACTGTATTTTTACAAAAGTATGACTGTGTTGTTATGGCTGATGTCAATTCTCATGAATGAGCATGCTTGTAACAACCACAGTGATTGGCTGCATGATTATAGACCCATCTGTGCTGGTGAACATGCATGCGCAACAATATTAAATTAAAAAACGATAGCCGTTAGCGATAGACAAATATAGACCGAATTAGGACATACAAATTAAATAATTTGGTTATTTTTTTGTTTTTTGGATTTTAAATACAACTCTGAGTTTTGCCTAGAGTCTTGCAGAGTCCTGGTGACCCACAAAAACAGTAATTTGTGGCTGGTATTTTGTCTTAATTTAATTTCCAGGTTCGGCTCTAAAAAAAGAACATGCTGGTCGGATCAGGGGTTTGGATGATAAGTGCATTAAAAAGAAATAAAAAAAAACAACTTGATGTACACTGTAAAATGTTTTCGCCGTTAAAAAACAGTGAACAACTGGAAGCAGGGTTGCCATTATTTTACTGTAAAATTAACGGTACCATGCTGTTGCTGGTATTTACAGTTTGCTACTGTTTTTGTAAATACAACAAAAAGCTGTTATTTTCTACTTTTACAGTAAAATACTGATGAAGAATTGGCAGTTTATTACTGTTTATTTACACTTTTTTCACAGGAGCTATATTTGCAGATTTTTACCGTTAACTGTAGTACATATATAAAACATGCTGCAGTATAAGCTATTGATAAATTAACTGCTAATAAAAAGAACTACATTTATTTCCCTAAACTTTATGAGTTGATAAATTATTCCTTGGCAGTCTTGCTATAAAACTATATTTTAATACATTGAATAAACACGGTCTTTGAAATTGCAACTTAAAATTTTAAGACAAATAATACTAATATACTTAAAGTGTCTTTTCAAACCACATCTCTCTTTATTAAGCTTGTGAAAACACAACATGCAAATAAACAAAATTTCAGTCATTTAAAAAACATCTCTAAGAAGTGTTGTAGTCTGCATGAACATTAAACACTGAACACAAATAAACACAACAAAATATTATCAAAAATAATCAAGTGGTTGTCTAACATAAGCTGTCATACTGTATGTGAATATTTATAAGGATTGTATGAGGGAACATCTTAAGGAGTGAATGATTGGCCAGGTGAACTGAAATAAGAGTGTGCCTAAGACACTGACAGTGTGTGTGTGAGTGAGAGTGTGAACTGACTTATGTAGAGTCTCACTCAAAGTCCTTAATTTCTTTAGTAGACTGGAGACACAAGGGTTGACTGATGCCATCTTTTTCTGGGTGACCTTCCCCAGACTTTGACCTGTCCAGCCTTGGTGCCTCTGTCAGGATTTATCCCCATGAATGTCCTGAAAAACAAGAGTGTGTATTCAGGTGGGGAAATAGGACAGTGTACTTTCATGGTGCAGATTAAGTAATAGGTTGTTTCGCCTTGATTAGTGTCAGAATAGCTTCCTTAACATGCTCAGATGTTTTAGGCAGCTTGTATGTAACATGTGAGACAAAACTCAACAAACACAAGGTCAACATGATCAAAGCTGCTGTGAGCACACAGTACCAGCTGAAGGATGTAAGCATCTCACCTTTGAACGAATTCCAGTGTGCATGCAGCATCATCTTGGGACTTAAGATTGAAGCTATAGTGAGTAGGAAAGACTGCAGCGATTCAGTCAGTCAATTCAGTCCCGACAGTAAAGTAATGTTATCTAAATAAAATCAGCAGCGTCCTTTGGAGCTGAGCACTTAACAGATGCTAACACAAAGTAAAGTGAAGATGAAACTCACCCTGTAGTTTGGAGGATCAGGATCAGAGTCCAGCTCCTCTCTCTGTCACAAGGTGAAACTGCCAGGGAAAAGGGTGATAGACAGTTAACATTACAGTGTTACCGACGTTTTCAGATCACAACAGAAGGATTTTTTTCCAATTAGCAACTGTACAGCTATACATCGAAGTAACTAACGTTAGCTGAAAGTACTCACTGTTTGCTTGTGTGTGTGTCAGCTCAGACTCTGATCTCAAATGACTTAAACTTTATTTGAGTCCAATGCTCTTTACATTCACTCTGAATACACTTCATTTTAGAGAAATAATCCTAAACATAAAGATAAGCTTAAAGTATCTTAAAGGCTAACATTACAAGTAAAATAACTCGACTTGTTTGATGGTATTCTACTAGATAATCAATACAACTTGATTGGAAATGTGATGTATAAGGCTCTCACCTATTCAATTGAAGGATGAAGATAGAAAAAAATCAAAACTGCATTGTCCAATCAAACGTGTCTCATGCTCTGTTTTCCCAAAATGCATTGCAAAAAATACTGTGAATTACTGTTTTAATACTGTTTCATGAGAGAAATTTACAGTAATATACTGCATTTAAAGATAACAGGATTGTACTGTTGAAATTTCCCCATAAATTTACAGGAATTTATTACAGTGTACTGACTTTAATCAGATGCATTACTAATAGGCATGTTAACTGGAGATGTGCTGCTCAATATTATTAGAATAAGCAAAAAATAGTCATTTAAATTGCATGTCATGAATTAGGCCTACCTTCATTTTAAAATATATTATCTTAGTTTCACATGTAGGATGAAATGGCTCAAAATGATCACTTTGAATGTGCTGCCTAACCAAATTATTTGAACAGTGCATGGTTATTGAAGGATTTGCAGTTTCGAGTCGGGCCACAGATCATGTGTCCATGGATAGGGGCGGGTTGCGTAACCAATTGGCCATACTGTGCGGGTGGCAGGGCGGGTATGGTATTGCATGTCACAGGGCCGGGGCGGGAGTGGGAGCAGGTCTGGAAAATCAGACCTGTGCAGGACTCTGGTGTTGCCACCAGAAATACTTGGATGACACAGTTATTGTTGTGTGCATAAGGAGTGGGCAGGAAGAGGAGTACAGGGATCTGACGATGGCCTTCAGTGAATGAAGCGACAAGAACTGCATCCTTCTGAACACCTCCAAGACCAAGAAAATAGTCATTGACTTACGGAGGTTTAGGCCCACCCTTGAGCAGGTCAACATTAGAGGGAAGGACATTGAGGTGGTGCACACTTAAATAAATAGCATCTGAACAGTAAACTGAACTGGTCACTGAACACGGATGCCGTCTACAGGAAGGGGCAGAGCCGGATCTTTTTCCTCAGGAGGCTCAGGTCCTTTGATGTCTGCCGTGAAATGATGCACATGTTTTTTCAGTCAGTGGTGGCCAGTGTCCTTTTTTATTCTGCAGTCTGCTGGGGCAGCAGCATGTCTGACATGAACACAAGGAGACTTGACAAGCTAGTTAAAAAAGCTGGATCTGTGCTCGGCAGGAGTCTGGACTCACACAGGACTGTTGAGAGATGCATGTAAGATGCAGCCATCTTGAATAATACCACCCTCTACACAACATTCTGGCAGGACAGAGAAGCAGCTACAGCTTCAGCAAACATCTCATCTCACTGCTCTGCAGGTCTGAATGAATTTTCTAAAATGCATCTGAATGATGATGTTTGTGTTTAATTTAACAAATAAAATTAAATTCACTCAATGGAAAAAAATGTGTTTAGTAAATAGATTGGCTTCCAGATGGCTGGAAATTCTTCAAGCCGTTGGCATTGCAACATTGCATTGTCCCTGTTGCCAAGTAAAGTGCTTAATTTCTGCACTGACTGGGTTGTTTCGGTTGGTTGGAGATGTTATTGTATCCCTAACAAGCTCCACAACAGTCATTATTCCCTCAGGATCGGGGGCGGTACCTAAGTGACTGAGCGTCAGGTATGGTTTCCCCAACATTGTGACGTGGAAAGACAGCAGCTAGGTAGCTTTCTGAATTACTCTTAGTCAATAAATGAGTCCTTAGTACTGACACAGCCCTTATTTATAGGAGTTTCTCCTAAACCTTCAACTTGCTTTGTGAATACTACCCCAGAGCTCAAAGAAAATTGAATACTGAATATTCAACAGGTGAACACAAATATGTGAAATGTGAAATAAGTATACGTGATTTAAATTAAACAAAATATGAATAATCACCATTATCCTTTCACACCACCACAATGTTGATATGACATTGCTATTATTGCTGCCCTTTTTATGTTGGGTAAATTGGGCCAACCACAGCTGATTCCAGTCTGGCTTAGACTCAGTGGCAGGGGTTATTTTTTTTCTATTACACTGACACTTATACAGTAAAAGGAGGACTTTGAGGAGTGATGTTTTTGGAAACAGAAACAGAAAAAGACAAACACTGTAATGTCTGGATGAGGAAGAGTAAGAGCAAGGGGCCCAGGGAAAAGAGAAGGCCCAGTGAGAGATGCAGTGAGAGGTGCAGGAGCAGTGAGAGATGCAGTGAGAGGTGCAGGAGCAGTGAGAGGAGCAGGGCCAGGGAGAGGAGCAGGGCCAGGGAGAAGAGCAGGCTCAAGGAGAGGGCAAGGTAGAGGTGTAAGAATGCGTGGTGGTGGCATTCCAAGGGCTGCAAGAACAGTAGTCAGTGATGAAATTCATGCCACTATCATTGACCATGTAATCAACCACCAATCCCCTTTCACTAAGAGAGGCTGGTGAAAGAGTGCAGCCCAATTTGAGGCGGTCAACGGTTGCCTCCATTATACGCATCTTTCAACAAACCAACAGGTAAGTATTGCATTTTACATGGATTGTTTCTATTCTCACTTGACATGTCAATAAGGCCATACAGTAATGCATATGTTGATTTTTTTGTCCCTCTAAAGAAAGCAACGTCTTCCTCCCTCTGGGGGAAGAGGAAAGCTCCTCAATAATGATCAAGAGCTTGCCATTGTAGAAATGGTTGTTGCAAATAATGCAATAAAACTGCATGAAATTCAAACTAGAATTGTGGGTTAGGGTTACCATGAGATATTTGACAATATCGATAGCATCAGCCTCACAACCATTACGCGGACATTGTCCAAACACAGAGTACGGATGAAGCAGCTCTACACTGTTCCCTTTGAGAGGAACAATGAGAAAGTCGAGGAGCTACGATGACAATATGTCCACGTATAGTGTATATTCAATTCAATGTCCAGTTCTATAAGCTTTGCACTTTGCAAGTAGGTAACCTACACAGTAATAGGTTACAGTACAGTATGGTATACGGTAATGACATGATTTACATAAACTTTGTTTCAGAGAGTTATGGAATTGGAGGCCAACCAGGCCCCTCATGAATTCATACACATAGATGAGGCAGGATTCAATCTGGCCAAAAGGCGTCGACGTGGACGAAATGTAATTGGAAAAAGGGCCACAGTTGATGTGCCAGGACAGAGAGGGGCAAACATTACCATGTGTGCAGCAATTGCAAATGCAGGATTACTCCTTCACAGATGTCAGGTTGGACCCTACAATACCGAGCGCCTCCTTGCCTTTCTCAATGATCTCCACCAGCGCCTGGTTCCAGAGCAGGATCAGGAGGGTTAAAACATGAGGACCTTTGTAATCACCTGGGACAATGTGGCTTTCCATCATTCGCAAGCAATAACAACATGGTTTGAAGTCCACCCAAGACTGGTACGTCTCTTCCTTCCACCCTATTCACCTTTCCTCAACCCCATAGAGGAGTTCTTTTCTGCAAGGAGGTGGAAGGTTTATGACCATCAGCCACATGACCAGATGTCCCTCCTTGAAGCCATGGCTGCTGGCTGCAGGGACATCACAGTTGATGATTGCCAAGGGTGGATCCGACATACCAAGTGGCTTTATCCCAGGTGCATCGCCTTGGATAATATCAGATGCGATGTTGATGAAAACATGTGGCCTAACCCTGAAGATCGCAGAGATTAGATACAGTAATTTTGTGCTTTTTTTTACTTCCCCCCCTTTTTATCTGGGCTTTTTACTGTTGTTTTTTTGTTCAGAATGCTCTTGTGTGTTTCATGGATATTTTGTTCACTGTAAGCAATACTGTAAAACTTTTTCTGTTCTATCATACTGTAAACAGTATCTCTACTGTACCTCCAGTAAAGGAGTAAACAGTAAAGGAAAAAAAAACTGATTTGCTTTTTACTGGAATGCTTTTGAATGTGAACATGTGGACATACAGTTCCCAACCAAGAAATTTAGTGTAAAAACGGTGGATTGCATGTTTTGCATGCAAATACCTGTAAAACTGAAACATAAAAGTCTATGCAGTTTTTGTAATGTCAACAATAGCCAGTATTTTGAAACCTGGTGTACTTTGATTGACTGCATGTACCTTGTGAAGTGAAAACAAGTGTTATTCTTTGACATAATAATTCATTTAGAGTCAGATTTCCAGTGTTTTGGTAAAGTTAGTGTGTGCAGAGAAAGATGTGTTCTATTTTGAAATGAAAAGTTAGTATATGTTTAACAAAATGTGTTTTTGAGAAGAAAATTATCCATTTGGCCAATTGTGTTTTGTAGGTGTGAGTCTGTGTTAAGAGTTTAGAAAAAGTATCTGAAGTCTTGGTAAGCGCTTGTTAGCGATTGAAAAAAACTGTATTCAATTGTTTGTTTATTATCAGCTGAGATATATTGTTTTTGAACTGATATCATCGCAGAAGCAGAGGTTTTTATACTGTATCTAAGGTTTGGAATATTGTTTTTGCTATTGTGGGATGTTGTGTGTTAACATTCGTAAATAATAGAAAAACAATCCATAATTTTGTTGGGAGGTATAGCTTGTCTGTTAAGAAAATGTAAGCATTGTGGAAATGTGTTCACTGACTGCATATTGTGTGAAAACGACATGAAATGTGTGAATGGTATGGCCACAAAAGGCCGATGCTGTGCTAATTGTGTTTAGAGTTTTGAAAATGTGACAACTGGTTGGACAAACGCTTGTTAGCGACTGAAAAAAACTGTAATACCATGAATGGATATAAATCAATGTTATAATGTGTCACTGATCAGATGTCTCTGAATATTGAATGTCAGATACACTTAATAACTCATGAAAAACCTTTAGTTGTTATGGCTGTAATTATAAGTAAAATCATGCTCTTTTCTCTATCCCTGTCAATTAAGTTACATTTTCACATGAAGCAATGCACTACCAATGTTAAACGTTCAACATGTCATAAGAACTGCAACACCAACAGCTAAGTTAACAAATGCAACAGCAGCCTCACTTATGGTGTGAAGTCTGTTGGTTTATAATTTTGACTAAAAACTATAAACTACCACAAAAATAACAATTACTGAACTACCATGTTCTGAACAGAAGCATTCTAGACACTAACAAGTAACTTTAGCATTTGTGATCATAAAAAAGCAAAACAAACACACTTCTGAATACAGCACAGGGGATGATAGGAAAAATGGGCTGTCACTATTACCAAGCCTCATTTTGATTCGCTCCCGTTTTCAGCATTTGATATGATATGCAAGATGTCTGCTTCTCAAATATAATGGGACTAAATGGCACAAGTCCTATGGTGCTCAAAGCACCAAAAAAATACATTTGAATAATTCAAAACCAGTGTCTCTTTTCAGAAGTCATGACTCAAGATAATTCACAGACATTGTTGTGAGCAGTTTCACATAGGAACTACTTTCTTTCTTCTTTCTTTCTTTCTATTACAAAAAAAGGTAGTTCTGGTAGATTCTACTACAGAAAGAAAGTAGTTCCTACGTGAAACTGCTGACAACATGATTTTTGGAAAGAGACACTGGTTTTGAATTTTTCAAATGTAGTCTTTGGTACTTTGAGCACCACAGGACTAGATGGATGAATACAACAGGCCAGAGGAAAAATATGTATTTTTGATTTTGGGGTGAAATGTCCCTATAAATGAATCGCTGACTATTTTGATAATCAATGAATTGGTTTGAGTAATTTTTTATTTTCTGGTTTCTTTACTCCTTCATGACAGTAAACTGAATATCTTAGAGTTGTGGACCAAACAAGACATTTGAGGACGTCATCTTGGACTTCGGGAAATGGTGATCGACATTTTTCACAATTTTCATAGACCAAACAACTAGTCAACAAATCTATACAAATCTATTTTCGCATTTAGTTTCTATCTCACCTCTGTAGCTACCCTCTGAAGATCACCGCCGCCCAATGTGCAGTGTTTCTTGCCCAGCTGCTGAGTTACACTGCTGCTGCTATGACCAGCACAGAGAGTGGGGAGGGAATCTTTGAACATAATCAGAAGAAAAAAGACAAGCTTTATTTGCCAGGTAAAATAAACAGAAATTCTACATAGTGAAGTTGTTCAAGCATTACAGAAATTAACACAATGTCAGTAATATTAAACAGCACAACATACATATTAATTTATCTGATCTTTTGCATGTTGTCTGTGAACTGCTGCATGAGTCTCTGGACAAAGACTGTGTCAATAGTCCACTTCTGAAACTGGCTGTAGATAATGTCCACATGAGGCATGTTGCGATGGAACAGTTCCAGGAAGAAGCTGAAAGTTTCATCCTCCTGTAGCCTCACAAATCCTCCAGCTTCTCGTATAGTGGTAGGATCAATCTCTCCTGAGTCCCTGATGGTTTCAAAACACTGGAGGAGATCATCTTTGTGCTCAAACACTGTGTTCACAACATGGCTGTGGAAGTTCCATCTTACTGTTGGGAGTCTGTGCCACCACTCTGTCAAGCACACTGGTTCTCTTAGGAGATCTTGAGAAAAAAACAGAGAATCCGGCCAGGTCAGAGAAGAACTGGCAAACTTTTGAGCTGTGTGATGTCACGAGCTGCATGATGAGGTTAAGTTGATGAGCATTGTGGACATAGTGTGTGTTCACATACATACCTTGCACTTCCTTCTGCACACCACCTGTGGCTCCTGTTGGGAGTTATAAGTCTGAGTTTGCTCCTCTGGTCATCAGGCAGAATGGAGCTCCACCTATCCAGAAGCGCTGTGGTGATGGACACGCGCTATCCATTTTGCGCTTCTGCCTTCATGAATATGCAATATAGGCGTGCCTGCCAGGGCACGCCGACTTTGCACTTTCTTGCGTCTGGTTCATTCCAGCGCACAGTTGCTGTTAGTTCTGGCATCTCCCAGAGCGTTTTTTCCAGTGCGTTGTCGCAGGTGTTGAATGCCATGTGCCGCAGCATGGGCCGATACATTCAATTTCCACGCACGCGGGTCACATTGAATGAGACAAAACATGGTTTTTATGCAGGCTTCCCCAATATTATTGGAGCGATAGACTGCACTCATGTTCAACTTGTTCCCCCTTCTGACAAGGAACATATTTACAGGAATCGAAAACACACACTCTCTCTGAATGTGCAGGTTGTGTGCGACTCAAAAGGGATAATCACAAACGTTGTGCCAAAATATCCAGGGTAAGTGCACGACTCATTTATCCTGAGGAACAGTGCCCTTTTTTCCAACTTGAGAGATGGCGAATATGGAGATGGCTGGCTTTTGGGTGAGTTGATCCCTTGTATGCATTGGAGAAATTCTTTTCTAATGTCTTTTAATTGAAGTGTTTTGTTGTTTTAATATATTCTGTACTGTCTTTGAGTTCCATTATAAGCGCTATACAAATAAAATGTATTATATCATTCCTCACACTATGAAAAATGTGAAAGTGGTTCATGTTCTACTTTTAGGTGACAGTGCGTACCCCTTCACCCCTTCCTCTTGACACCTGTGATGAACCCGACCACTCCAGGCGAACTCCTCCAGCCCGTGAATACAATTATGATTGGCTTGTTTCACCCTCGTCACCCCCGACCTATAATACAATTCAAACGTAATCTGGCGGGAGCTAGTCACAGAGACTCAGGAAGCTTGTGTGATGTGTGTGGAAATAACAGAGGATAAGAAAATAGGTAGGCCCTAATCAAGTCATATTGTAATATCGTAGCCAAATAATGCCTGGTTTAGCCACTGAGCTAAGAGAGCTTATTGAAGGCAGAACTAAATCTAAAAGAAGACACAGAGAAGTAATCAAATGGATGCAGAAGAAAAGGCTTCTAAGAAGACGGATGAGATGCCAAAAATGCAAACACAAGATGAAATTCAAGGAATCAGTTTGCATGCATGGTAAGTTTATTTTTATTGCATGAAATGACAACATACATGGGTATTTTGGTTCAGAATTCTAGTGAAAATGAAATCTATTTAATTGTGAGCTAATAAGAGTGCCAAATATATCTTAATTCATGTTAACATTAATTTCTAGAAATACACTACTATACACTACACTACTTAATACTAATCTACAAGATCACAACACGTCAAAACGTTGTGAGTTTATAGATCTGCTATTTTCAGAAAAAAATACTGAAAAAATTTCAACACTGAAACATATTAACACACATTTTATGGGGGTTCTTGGCACAAAATATTTTCAGATGGGGTCCATGGCCAAATACATATTAATTTGGGGGTCCTTGACATGAAAATGTTTGAGAATCACTGCTCTAGCCACTACCCTGGCCTGTGTCATTCTTATCTTTGTATATATCTTCAGGGTTTGCAAACACCATAACCACAGAGGGAGGAAACTGAAGAGGTCAATTAGACATAAATCTATATTCAGCAATTCAAAGGTCTCCCTCTTCAACTGGATGTGCTTTGTGTACAGGTACCCTATGGCATAGGTATATGATTTTAGTCTGTCTATGATGAAAAGTGTTTATTTCAATAGAAATACTGTATAACTATGCTGTCATAAACAATAACTGGAGACTATGTAGTAAAGCTTGTGATTATTATGTTATGGAGCATCTCTAGACTGATGATAACAGGTGCTTGGAGTTATTTCACTTTTGTGATTTATTTTGCTAAAAGGTGTAATTTACAGCTTGAATTCTTATTCTTAACAGTTTAATTATGGAAATATGTTTAATTGCTGTTACTTATGGGATGCTGTGTTGGTCAGCATTAGGCCTGGTGGAGCAACATGAGTGTCTGACCCTGCCTCTTGAAGCTCAATGGCAATTGGCTCTCTCAATCTATAGGCTCTGGCAATTAATATTAGAAATAGGATTTTACAAATATCCTACAGTATTAGTCCCAAATGTATTGACAGAGCTCTGTAGAAAATACCACAAAACATATTTTCCATCATTATTGCTGTTTTTGTCTACACAGTAGTGGACAATTTTCATATCCTGGGATGCAGTAGATGCAAACTTTGTGTATCAAACCAAAAAGATCAAAAGAACTGTGCTATAATAATTATTTGCCTTGTTCTATCAGATGTGCACAAGGCCTATGTCTACGTCAAGTGGACATGATCAATGATGAAATTTCTGGAAGCTCAGCAACCCTGTCCAAGATGGCTCAAAAGCTGCGAGATGTGTGCACTACTGCGATGGACAGGTATCAGCAAGCAAGAGGCCAGTACATTGGGGGCGGCAGCAGTTTGTCACCGTTGATGAGAGCCACATCAGACACAAAAGAAAGGCAAGCAGCAAACATTATTATCAAGATAGTAATGCAAATTACCATTGACTGACAGATTATTCATTTTGTTTAAAGAAGAATAATGCCTAATATTTTATGTTTTCAACAGTACGGACGGGGATGAATGGCTGGTGGCTGGAAGAGGAAGAAGTGGGTGTTTGGGATGCTAGGTGTGAACCGGAGAGGAAGAAGACATGCAAAGCCTGTTCTTCGCTTAGTCGAGAGAAGAAGAAGGAGAGATCTGGTGCCACTTATAGCTCACCATGTTAAAGTGGGATCTACAATAATAAGTGATGAGTGGCGGGCTTATCGCAATGCTTTACCTCAGCTAGGTTACACCCATTTCACTGTCAATCACAGTGTGTCATATGTCGATGCCCAAACAGGTGCACATACTCAGCACATAGAGAGGGCCTGGAGAACGGTTAAGGAAAATGTATGGAGACTCAGGGGGAATCATACAGAGGAGTTACTGGTAGACCATCTCAGAGTTATTGAATGGCATGAGTGGCTTGCCCGTGAGCATTGCAAAGGGCCGTTAGGACGGATAATCCATGACATTGCTTTGATGTATGGACATTAAATGTCCCTCTGAAATTCTGTTT